CCGGAAACGGAGGAAGCGCCTGTGACCCTCAAAAATGTGGATGTGAAAATACGCATCCTGAAGGTCTAGAGCTGTTAACTAATCCCCGGGGTCTAGGGACGGAATAATAGAGGCCAGGGACACCATGCGGAATTTGCAACGAACCAGGAACTGGTTGAGATTCCGCAGACCGAGGATGGACCGGAGCCCGCCCTTTGCCTTCGGGATGAGGAAATACCTGGAGTAAAATCCCTAGCCCTGGAATTCCCGAGGTACCCTCTCCACAGCTCCGGCCAGCTCCCGGGATGGAGGATAATGGGGAGGGGGCGAAACGAACTGCAACCTGTACCCTTGGGAGATGGTGCTGAGGACCCATCAATCCGACGTTATACGGGACCATTGCTGTCGGAAGGCAGATAAATGGTTGGCAAAACTCAACTTTATTAACTGGGGGGGGGGGTTTCCCCTGGCAACAGGCCCGGTGACCCCCCCACAATGAGTCAAAAACGCCTCTTCCCTGGCCTCTTGCCCTTCGAGGGGCCAGGCCGTGGGGCCAAACGGGACTGGCGTTGGGATCGACACCTCTGCTCCCTCTGCCTTTTAGGCAGGGGTTCGTATCTGCCCCGAGCCGGAGGAGTGGAGGTTTGAGGCCTGGGCTTATCCTTGGTGGGCGGGACATACAGGCCTAGTGTCTGCAGGGTGGTGCGGGAATCCTTCATCCCATGCAGACGCATGTCTGTCTGGTCCGCGAACGGGCCCTCCCGTCGAATGGCAGGTCCTGCATGATGGACTGGGACTCCACGGACAGCCCCGACAGCGAGAGCCACGACACCCTCCACATGGAGATGGCCGAAGCCATCGAACGGGCCGCTGTGTCCGCCGAATCAGAAGCCGCCTGGAGAGCTGCTTTGGCTGCCACCGCACCCTCGTCGACCAAGGCCCAGAACTCCTTCCTGTCCTTGTCCTGAAGGAGGGGTTCAAACTTTGGGAGTGACCCCCACAGATTAAAATCATAGTGGCTCAGTAGCGCCTGGTGGTTAGCCACTCTGAGCTGGAAACTCGCCGAGGAATAAACCTTTTTTCCAAAGTTATCAAGTCTCCAAGCGTCCTTGTCCTTGAATGTGGGCGTGGGCTGGCCATGCCGCTCACGGTGGTGAACGGACTCTACCACCAGAGAGTTCGGAGCTGGGTGGGTATAGAGGTTTTCGTGCCCCTTTGCGGGCACAAAATACTTCCTCTCGGCCTTCTTAGCAATGGGCCCCAGGGAGGCCGGGGTCTGCCAAAGGCCAGTGGAAATATTGATCGCCCCTTGGTGCAGAGGAAGGGCCACACGGCCCGGTGCCGAAGAGGTCAGGACATTGACTCAAGTGTCCGAGGACTCCTCCATCTCCTCAGCCTGGAGCTGGAGGTTCGACGCCACCCTTTTAAGTAGCTCCTGGTGAGCCTTAAAGTCCTCCTGAGAGACGGGAGGCGGCACCGCAATGGACTCGTCCGACGCCGAGAAGGCAGCTGGCATGGTGCCTTCAACGTCCGGCGGCACCGGCAGCTTGAACTCCGTACCCGGACCCGGGCCTGGGGTCGGTGCCGGTAGTTCGGTGCCCGCAACCTGGTCACGGTGCCGAGGCGGAGACGCCGAGTGGGCCTGAGAGGCTCCAGCCACGGAGCGGGGTCTCGGCGGTGTGGGTGCTTGGGGCCACGGTGCCCACTGGCACCATTGTCCTTGCCAGGGAACCCCTTGCCACTGAGACGCGTGGGGGCCCAGCAGAGCCGCTTGGTCCTGCGGTGCAGAGTGGCCCGGAGAAGGGCAGCTGGGCGCCGACGCCAAGGTCCTGGACGACTGCACGGTGCCGTACGATCAACTGGAACGGTCCCAGTCATGACATCTCCTGCCCCGAGATTTTGACCTCGATGACGAGGACAGGTAGATCTCCAAGGAGCTGTCTCTCAACTCCCTTTGGCGACTGTGGCTATGATGCTGCGGTGCCGGGGACTCCCGGGACGCACTCCGAGCGCGGCGTCTATCGCGGCGGGCGCTGGCGTAAGAATGCTGGTGCCGTTGGCGCCGAGACCTGTTCCTCTCACTCCGGCTTGAAGAGGAGCGGCGCCATCTCTTGCCCCGGCGTCTACGGTCCCTGCGATCAGAGGAGTCAAACTCACTCCCAGAAGACCCGGCCCGCAGGGCGGAAGTGTGTCGCGGGCTTCGGGCCGGCCCTTCAACCCGGGAAGGCACCTCGATCTCTGACACGTCCGGGGCGGGCTGATGTGCGCCCAAGGGCGGTTTCCCTCGGGACCGGGGGCCCAACTGAAGTGGCGCTCCCGGCATTGGTAGGGCTAAGATGTCGCGCGCGGCCTGGGCTGCCTCTGCCGTCGAAGGCATCCGCACTTCGGGAGACACTTGCGCGGACAGGACCGGACTACTCCGCTCAGCCCGAGTTGGAGGTCTAGGTCCCGACGGGGATTGTGGGCTGCCCAGCTCAGGTCTGGCCTAACCCCTTTCTTTCTCCCGGCGCCGCTGAGTCTTTCCCTGCTTCTTAGCTAGGGATGGTGCTTCACTACGCACCGAAGACGCGGTGCCTGGCGTGGGGTCGGGTCGATGTGCCAGTGCCGGGGCTAGTGCTGACTCCATCAGAAGTGCCCAGAGTCGGATCTCACGCTCTCGTTTTGTCCGGGGCTTGAAAGAGCGGCAGATTTTGCAACGCTCACTAATGTGAGCCTCGCCCAGACAGTGAAGACACTGGGAGTGCAGATCGCTTCTGGGCACAGAATTGCGACAAGAGTCGCACGACTTGAAGCCTAGACCATGGGGCATGCCCCGAGCCAGGCTAAGAACTAGAGAAAGTGTTCATATTCGAACTGGATACCACTAAGGATAGAAGCACTGCAGCCAAGGCTGGAGCAGAAGTTCGGACTACCTTCACTGGCGGCAAGAAGGAACTGAGGGTGGGGGGAGCACGCAGCCCCCTTTATGGCGCGATATAGAGGCGCCACTCCAGGGGTCGCAGCGGTGCTCCCCCACTACGGGTACTGCTAAGGGGAAAACTTCCGGCACCGGTGCACGTGGCGAGCACGCACACCTATAGTGGAATACACATGAGCAATCACTCGAAGAAGAACTTTTTCATATCATGGTCTCACTTGAATACAAGAGGTACCACTACTGCTAACTCCAACTGGGTAACAGATGTAAGAAAGCATATACTGCATTTGCCAATATCCAAATGTTGTAGCCTTAAAAAGTCAAATTTTAATGCTGATCCCAGCAGAAATAAAATTTCATTATATTGGCAGCCTCTGGTTTCATCAGAGCCATTCTTGGGATCTGTTGAGATTCTCCTTATAACCAATCAGAAAGAGTAATTCCTCACCTGAGAGATTCTGGCAGATTCTCCTGTGACATACTAGCCACCAGCCTTTGGAATACATGGAAAAGTTCCACCTTACAGATCCGGGACCTAATAGGAAGAGGAAACTGAATTCAAATCATCAGCTGTAGGATAAATAAAACAGCAGTTTTGCTGTGGACACCTGTCTCATTAGGCCTACAGCAATGATAGATAATTTGCTCCTTCCCTCAATTATAAATGCTTTGCCTAGGATAATCTTACAAATGACTAGCCACCTCCCAGAATCTTGTACATCTAGAATTGCTCTCAGGGAGAAGAAGAGGATGACACAAGAAAGGAACTTTTCAACAAATGCACTTTTGTTTGTTTGTAAAACCTTAAAGAGTTTTGCAGATGAGGTTGATATGTTGGAGAAAATGGTCCCCTGCTTCCATTCTATGCCTTGTGGAGGTGACAGTAACTATCTTCACTTACTGGAAAAGTCTGGTTACTTATAAACACTATCTTGTATGAATTTTTTTAGGGCGTTTACAAAGTTATTCCCTGTTCAAACCACAAAATGGTGGTAATTTTATAAATATTTAGAAAGAGGCCATAAAGATAAAATACAACTACAATTAACAGTTCTGTAGGTTTCTGAGATAATTTAGAATTGGTTTTCTAATTATAGTTTTAAATGTTCAAATAATGAGTTTGCTAGAGAAGTGAAAGGAGTGAAATGATGAGAAAGAAAGGGTCATGGAAAGCCAAAAGGGAGAGGTAATCATTCATAGAATCACCGTAGAACAGCCGTAGGCTAGTGTACCCTGACAAAGACAGCAGTGGGATACTACAGAAGAGTGAATCAGAATTTTGTATCAGGAGCATTTTCGGGCCTCTCTCTTTCTGGCTGTGTTCAGCAGTGGCATGGGAATCTGGAATGGTATGCTTACCTTTACAATTCACATTAGCACAGCCCAGACAAAGACCCTTTGTTAATTTCTTGAATGATGTAAAGGGATCCGTAATGATTTAACTTCTGCTGCTCCATCCGAGCTCCCCACTCTCCTTTCCCTTCACTTGAAGTGATACACTGATAAAGAGCTACATTGTCCAAGAAGCAAGCTGTAAAGCCATCCTAGCCAGTACTATGGCAGACTGCAGAGGGGACATTTCAATATCCCCACAGCATCCTGTGCAAGAGACTGTGCCCCTGCCAGCCCACATCCATCTCAGAAACGAGGGGCTCAGCACCAAACATCAAGCAAGAGAACAACCCACAAGACTTTGACAGAAGTGCCAACAATTACATTATTTATCGTGAATAAAACCCTCAATAAGACAGATGGGGGCAAAGGGGAAGGGGATAAAAATCCTGCCCTGCCTCACAGGGGTGCCAGGCAGACACACTCATTACTGGCTGCGAGGCACTCGGACGGTATAGTGGTGCGACATCAAAAGGCCCATCAGTAAATAAGGAAAGTGAGTGCCATTTGAAAATGATGATTTATAAGGAAGGCCTAGAAGGTGGAGTTTGTTAAATAGTTTTTTTCCTGACAATTTTTTAACCTTAGAAATAGCAGGAATATCAAGTCTTCTCTTCCCTGTTTTTGCCAGAAGACTTTTTGGAGAACCCAGGAAAGTAGAATGGGGAGTGCCTTCAGCCTTAAATGAATGCTTAGAATATTGAGCCTTTAACAAAGATATTTTATTATGTTTAGTGGTTTGGTTAATTTTTATTAACAAAAGCCAAAAGACTGTATAAAACTGCTTCCTCCTTCAGTTAATCAGGTTTCATTTCCTTGCTATCTGTTATGTCGTAATCCTAAAAATCATAAAGAGCCAATTATATAATTTTAGCAATAATAGCGATCCATAAAGTCTTCCAGGAAAAACAGTAGACAAGACATGAATTTTTAATGTAACAAACTAAGCCTTTACGTTAGAAAATAAACTTTTGAGCTTTAGTCACAAAGAAAGAAAAGGATATACACCCCTTTGTAGGTCGATCAACACCGGATTTTTTTTTCAAATGTGTTAAATTAGTGCAAATGAAGAGAGTCCTACTTAGCCACAGAACAGATATAGTATGGAGCACAGTCTTGTAAGCTTCCCTCACACCATCCATCAGCTCACCCGTTCAGGATGAGAGGTTAATTCAACCTCCATAGTCCATCCAGTTCTTGGTCTCTCTGGTCTGACTTTATTGCAATTATATAAAGTGCACTTATCCACAGTTCTAGGAGCAGGTATTATTATTTAACATGTTTATTACGGCAGTGTCTAAGGGCCCACCAAGAACAGGACCAGGCGCTGTACAAATACAGAGCAGCAGACAGTCCCTGCCCTGAAGAACTTACAGTGTAACTAGACCAGACAGACACAGGGTGGGGGAAGGAATAGAACACACCAGCAGAGTGAGCAATGTGATGACAGCAAACAGCATGCTAGTTCCACTTTTGGGGAGGAAGGCAGATGGGGGGCTACTTAAGAGGAGATAAGCTAAAGGGAAAGAAAAGGGAAGGGGAATGAGGGGGACAGGGCAGGGGAGAAGAGGGTCAGAGGGTCAGATGTAGAGTGAAGATGAGGTGAGGAGACTGAGGGAGGGATGGAACAAGCAGCCAATCAGCACAGAGCAGGAAGAGTCCAATGAAAATTGCAGAAAGATCTAAGGATCCATAGGTCCAAAAGGTTCCTGGTTCTGCTCCCATGGGCTAGTGTCTCTGGCTGGTTCCTCTCACTGTACAAACAAACAATTTGTACTAAATGTACAAACAATTTACAAAAATACTTACAAAAATCAAATAGGATCATCTATATTAATTAATATTCTCCCAAATACCACACTGAAGTTATAAAGCTCTTGGTCCTCCTGTTCCTAGAAAGGAGCTGGAAACATTGTACAGTGGGCTTTTAATAGAGGTAAACAGCAGTTCTAAGTCAAGGAGATTTTTCTCCTACTCTCCTTCCGTAAGACTAAATCTAGGATTCTCCTCCCCATCACCTCGCTCACTACTGCTCAGTTCCCAGCTGATTGGAAAACAGACAGGCCATGCAAGGCACCAGTTAATGGACTGGTGATGTGGACACCTGACTACAGTACCAGAACACGGCCAATACTGCCAACTATTTTCCCATTTATCTGCCTGGTGGGTTTTGCCTACATGCTCAGGGTCTAACTGATTACGATATTTGGGATCAGGAAGGAATTTTCCTCCAGGTCAGATTGGCTGAGACCTGGGGGCTTTTCGACTTCCTCTGCAGCCTGAGTCACAGGTCACATGCAGGTTTAAACTAGTGTAAATGGTGAATTCTCTATAACTTTAAGTCTTTAAACCACGATTTGAAGACTTCAGTAACTTGGTTAGAAGTCTATTTCAGGCGTGGGTGAGGTTCTGTGGCCTGCACTGTACAGGAGGTCAGACTAGATTATCATGATGGTCCCTTCTAACCTTAAAGTCTATGAGTCTACTTTCAAACAAGCTACTGAACAAGCTACAACTTTTGGTCATCACTCACCTGAACTGGAATTGAACCAGCAACCCACAGGCAAAAGTCTCTATATCCCATCATCAATTCTGAGCTATCACATCCCAACTTATCAACATTGTCGATATGTCAATCCCCAGACACGTTCATATTACAGAAACCAGCAGTCTCGTCCACAGTAGTGCAATTTTTCAAAAGTTTTTCAAAGAGACATTATTAAGGGCACAAGAGCAAACTATCACACTGCATAGGAAGTATGGAAGTATGGCAAACTATCACACTGCATAGGAAGATAGGAAGTATGGCAAGAGACCAACCTGGCTTAACCAGGAGATCTTCAATGATCTAAAACTCAAAAAGAGACCTACAAAAAGTGGAAACTTGGTCAAATTACAAAGGATGAATATAAACAAACAACACAAGTATGTAGGGACAAAATTAAAAAAGCCAAGGCACAAAACGAGATCAAACTAGCTAGGGACATAAAAGGAAACAATAAAACGTTCTACAAATACATTAGAATCAAGAGGAAGACCAAGGACAGAGTAGGCCTGATACTCAATGAGGGAGAAAAGACAACAACAGAAAATGTGGAAATGGCAGAGGGGCTTAATGACTTCTTTGTTTCGGTTTTCACCAAGAAGGGTGGTGGCAATTGGTCATCTAACATGGTGACTGCCAAAGAAAATGAGGTAGGATCAGAGTCTAAAATAGGGAAAGAACAAGTCAAAAATTACTTAGACAAGTTAGATGTCTTCAAATCACCAGGGCCTGATGAAATGCATCCTAGAATACTCAAGGAGCTGACTGAAGAGATATCTGAGCCATTAGCAATTATCTTTGAAAAGTTATGGAAGATGGGAGACATTCCAGAAGACTGGAAAAGGGCAAATATAGTGCCTATCTATAAAAAGGGAAACAAGGACAACCCGGGGAATTACAGACCAGTCAGTTTAACTTCTGTACCCGTGTCAAACCAACCTGATAGCTTTCTTTGACAGGGTAACAAGCCTTGTAGATAGGGGTGAAGCAGTAGATGTGGTATATCTTGACTTTAGTAAGGCTTTTGATACTGACTCGCATGACCTTCTCATAAACAAACAAAGGAAATACAACCTAGATTCAGCTACTATAAGGTGGGTGCAAAACTGGTTGGAAAATCATTCCCAGTGGTTCACAGACATGCTGGAAGGGCATAACGAGTGGGGTCCCACGGGGATCGGTTCTGGGTCCGGTTCTGTTCCATATCTTCATCAATGATTTAGATAATGGCATACAGAGTACACTTATAAAGTTTGCGGATGATACCAAGCTGGGAGGGGTTGCAAGTGCTTTGGAGGATAGGATTAAAATTCAAAATGATCTGGACAAATTGGAGAAATGGTCTGAAGTAAATAGGATAAATTTAATAAGGACAAATGCAAAGTACTCCACTTAGGAAGGAACAATCAGTTGCACACATACAAAATGGAAAATGACTGCCTAGGTAGGAGTACTGCAGAAAGGGATCTGGGGGTCATAGTGGATCACAAGCTAAATATGAGTCAACAGTGTAATGCTGTTGCAAAAAAAGCAAACATAATTCTGGGATGTGTTAGCAGGAGTATTGTAAGCAAGACACAAGTAGTAATTCTTCCACTCTACTCCACGCTGATTAGGCCTCAACTGGAGTATTGTGTCCAGTTCTGGGTGCCACATTTCAGGAAATATGTGGAGAAATTGGAGAAAGTCCAGAGAAGAGCAACAAAAATTATTAAAGGTCTAGAAAACATGACCTATGAGGGAAGATTGAAAAAAACTGGGCTTGTTTAGTCTGGAAAAGAGAAGCCTGAGAGGGGACACGATAACAGTTTTCAAATACATAAAAGGTTGTTACAAGGAGACGGAGAGAAATTGTTGTTCTTAACCTTTGAGGACAGGACAAGAAGCAATGGGCTTAAATTGCAGCAACGGCAGTTTAGATTGGACATTAGGAAAAACTTCCTAACTGTGAGAGTGGTTAAGCACTGGAATAAATGGCCTAGGGAGGCTGCGGGATCTCCATCATTGGGGATTTTTAAGAGCAGGTTGGACAAACACCTGTCAGGGATGGTCTAGATAATACTTAGTCCTGCCTTGAGTGCAGGGGACTGGACTAGATGACCTCTCGACATCCCTTCCAGTTCTATGATTCTAGGATAATACCATAGGAAATTTTTCATTCCAAACTGGTCAGGACAGGACAAAACAGCAATCTCTTCTTAAAAGTACAGCTTTGAGGACAGAGGCCAGCTTCCATTTTTGACATGTTAATGACCACAGAAGAGCAAGTGTCATGGGAAAAAGTAAGACAGAAGTGCTAGAAATAAACCACAAGTGTTCCAGCTTCCAATAAAGGGATTACACTTCACACAAAGCAGGCAGAAATAAGATTTGCAGCCTGCAAGGGAAAACACACATCTCAAACAAGTGCAACCAAAGAAATCAATTACTCCAACAATAAAGGAAGCACTGGAACAATCCTCTCCGAAAAGGGGGTGGCCATATGTGAAAATTCTATCAAATAACAGGCTCATCTCCTACCCAATAACCAGGTTGGAGGCCACTGCCTTCTGCTAGGCAGAGAATGACAATTTAGTCTACATCATCAACAAAAGATTCTGGTTTCATTTAAAAATATCCCCCCTGGTTTAATTATTAGAAAAATTCTATTAGGCAAAGGTAACAAGAAACATCCCAGTGAAGGGGCTAAGCCTATAAACACACAGATTCAACCTGCCCCGCCCCTACTCTCTATTCTGTGCAGTAGGAGCATGGTCTGGGATGGAACAAACATGGGGATTTCTTTCCCATCGCATTACCCCCTAATGATGCCCACAGTCCCTACACACCACACTCTATGTCAAAGTAAAAGAGAGAGGGGAACATACATTGATAAGGATACACTCCCAGAGGGACATCACAAGCCCTTACTACCACCACACCTGGTCTGGTGACTTCCGATTCCTTTCTTTGTTGTTCCTTGCTTGAAGCCATTTGAGGTGACATCTAGAGGTTGCTCAGGGACAGCACTCCAGCTGATAGCTGGGGGAAAAAAGATCATGAACAAAGAGATTCTCAGCAGAAAATCACAACTCTCAATACTGCAAAACAAAAGGGTTTGTGATGCCAATATACCACTACCCAGACTAATTCAGGTAAACTTAAATGAATATGCCACTAGCATTGTAATCTTTCCAGTCCCATCAGGGATGAGTCTGGAGTTTCATACAGAAACATGTTGATTAAACATTCCTTCCCTTCCCAATAACCCACTAGACTCCTGAAACAGACAAAAAATTAGAGATGGCAAAGACCAATCAAGTCATCTAGGGGCAGATTTTCAAAGGTATATAAGAACCTAAAGATGCTGACAGGCACCTAGTGGGATTTTCAGAAGCATGTATTTACATCTTTAGACACCTAAATACCTTTAACACCTGGCCCGTAGTCTCTCTTCTCCACAAGGCAGGAGAGTTCCCTTCAATACATTCTGTCATGTTTTGGTCAAACATATTTTAAGTGACCCAGACAACAAGGCTTCTCCTTGCTTTGCTTGAGATATTAGATTGTGGAATATTCCATCTCATGGCAAAAGTTTTGCATACTAGTCAGCTTATATTCTTGCTGCTGCCTCCCCCACCCTAAACAATCCCTCAACCTTTTTCACACTTATACCTTTCAAATATCGGTAGACATATCCTTAAAAGTGATATCAGAAATTAGCGAATGAATAAAGGCTCAGTAAAAGAGCAGGGAAGAGCTGATATTTATCTATTCCTCTCCCCTATACTTTGTCTGTTTCTACTCATCTTAGATTGTAAGGTCACTGGTACCAGGACTATATATTCTTATACGGGTTGAAAGTGCTTAGCACTGTGTGAGTGCTATTCTAACATAAATACATAAAAAACACTAACAATAATGTACCCAATTTATCATTGCATAGACTAACTACAGCTCCTTTACTCTCTCCTTACAAATCTCTACAGCCTCATGATAAGTTATTTTTGTTCATCTCTGAATTCCCTCTTTTTTTCGGTCTTCCTGGTAACATGGCACAGGTGTAGTTGTATCAAGCAGCATATGGAGAACCCACTGCCGTTCAGCTCCATGATGCAATGCCTCTGTGGGAGCAGCTCAAAATTGCAGTGGTTTTTTAGCTGCTGTATTGCACTGCAAAAAATTCTAGTCTGATTTGTAGTCCACTCCCACCTTGGGTCTCTTTCAGCATTATTGCTTCTAAGGTTCCTCTTGTACCTGTGTTTCAGATTATCTTTTCCCAGATGAATCAGCTGCATTTTTCCAAGAGAAATCTCATTTTGTTATTTCCTGGAAATGTTTCTAATCTCTTTCTGTTTTAGTTATTTCGAGTCCTTATCACCACAGTAGCTAAATATATTCCTCACTGGCATTTGCAATATCCTCCAATTTAGTGAATGTTATTAATATACTGTTTCTTTGCCATTCTACCCTACCAATGAAGTTGCTAAATAAGATCAGTCCTAACACAGAAATCTTTGGCAACCAAATGGCCAGAGGTGGTTTGTACAGTGCTGGCATGTCTTCAGCCCATGAAGGACCTATTGCCACACCCAGAGTCTCTTTTCAGGTCAGTTTTATTTTCTAAACACAAGTAAAAACAAAACAGTTCCACAGCCCACGCTGGGCTACAGCTCCCAGGGGATTTTCCCTTTGCTTATCTCAGTCCCTCCTGCAGGATTCTTCCTTGCTCTTTTAACTGATCACCACCTCCCAGGGCTTGCCCCTCTCCCCTAACTACACTGCCTCCCCTCCCAGCAGACTCTCTGCTGTGCTCCCACTTCCTTACTGACAACCTCTCTCTTTATAGCCCCAGATGCTGCCCTGCCCTCTTAACTGGCCAAACTGGGAGCACCTGGACCTGCTTATTTAAGCACCCATCCAACCTGTGACATGGCTATTATTTTGTTTACAATCCTTCCACCAGTTTTCTTCATGTATCAGTATTCCTAGGCACATCTCCATTAAACATTCCAAGTCAATTTTCAGCTAAGCCAGAGAAGTACATGGTAGAAGATGGTACATGTATATCCCACAGATGGAGAGAAACTGCATATTACACATGTGGTGGTGACATCCATGTAATACTTTGCAAAGGCATGAGAATAAACTGTGAAACCACGCAATGACCTGCTTAACTCACTCACTGCCACTGATAAATAAGGCAGACATCCCAGACTCATGCCAATAAAACTTTTACATCATACTATTTTGTACGCTCTATATACATAGGAATCGCTAGCTGGTGTGGATCTGATCCAGTATGGCAACTCCTGTATTCCTACACCAACAAGAATGCATAACTAACTGAAACAAGGACATAGTCTTATTGATGTAAATTTCTCAGGGCACTGACCAAGTCTTTTACACATTCTGTGAAGTGTCTTCAGCACACTTCAGGAGCTGTATGAATAATTTAATATTAATCATAATTACTAATGATGATGAAGTCTTGGCATAAAAGCGGTCTCTTGCTACATAAAACCCTAAAGAGAGAACGCTTCAGGAAAAATATACCAAAGTCATGCCATTTACTCTTTGGTCTCTGTAGGTATTTAAGGAATTGGTCCAAGTCACTCACCTGCACCACAAGGAACAAGCTTTGCTTTGCCATTAGCATGACCTGTCTGAATTGCATGGCGGCTATGTTTAAACTGAAGATTTGACTGCAACATTTTCACCTCCTGAACATGGAAACCATCAGGTAAAAATGAGATGTGCTGACACCTACAGTAGATATGGAGAAATGCAAGTCACTGAAATGATCCTTCAGCAGACTCCCAGTTATAACCCTGCAACCTCCACTTAATGAAACTGAAATGCTATGAAGTCAGAACAGATACAAGGAAATACTTTACCAAGCAACTTTTGTTTGATCTGTGGAACTCTGTACCTCATGACATTGCTGAGCCAAATAGCTTAGTAAAGCCTTATCTATACTAGAAAATTTCACCAATTTCATTTTAAAAGAGATCTAATTAAATTGGTGCAAACTCCTAATGTAGACAACTTAAGGTAAATCAAATAAGCAATAGTTAAAAAGTTCAAATATGCACAATTTGCATCAGTTAGCTATCCTTGGAGACTAGGCATCCACCACTTGCATTGACAGACTATTCCATAATCTAATACAAACAACTTCCCAGTTAGGAGCTGTATCACATATTCTCAGAATAAAACCAGGAGTAATATAATTAAATTAAGAAAAGGACAAATCATATTCCTTATTTTAACATCTCTTATTTTGTAAGGTACAGAGCGAGTGAGGAAAGGTCTCCACCAGAATTCATGCCTTGTGCATTTTGTAAATAAAATTATTTTCCTGGACTGTCTGGCATACACAGATTGGAACACAGTACCAGAAGAAACAATCTTAGATACATAGTATGTGTAAGTAAAAACTTTAGTATATTATATTATTCCTGCAGGAATTCTATGCCAAAAAAACAAAAATTCTGTGCACAATATTTTAAAATTCTGCAAATTTTATTTGTCAATAAATAAATGTAGAGGCTCCCGCATGATATGTGATCATCTAAGACTGTATCAGAATGCCGCTGCACAAAAAGGCAAAATTAAGGTAGCATAGCCAACCTTCATTTTGGCATTGCCAAACTTTTGAGAGCTTCATTTTACAACCTTAATGGTCTTCTAATGTATTTTTTTAATGACATTTCCTGGAGTTTGTAAAAAGAAAACTGAAGAAACAGAAATTTTATCATATTGAATTATACTGATCCCTGCATGGGCAATCAGCAGGTTCTGAACCCAGGACATTTAAATCCACAGCACAGACCTCTGCCAGGTAAATTAAAAGAGTAACTGATAGCAGTAGTATATTGTTATCCTTTATGTTTTTAAAAGAAAATTGATATTTCTAAATTTGGCCTTCCCTGGTTTTGCTGGAGAGCCACGGTGGAGGCTCGAGTATGAATCATGTGCTCTGATAGCTTAACTGAAGGGATGCTGGATGGGTCTGAACCAAACAAAAACCCTAAATGTTCAATGGTCTTAAGAGTTAAACAGGTATTAACAAAAGCATCTTAAACAGTTTTAAACAGTCTGACTAAAAATCTTTCCCTCTCAACTGCTGCAGCACTAAGTCATGTGTGACACAATGTCACTGGATCTACAGTCACCAGGGAATCTTCCTAGGTAGACAAGTCCTGAATTTCAAATGTCAAAAGCAAGTAGGAAAAAACAACAACTTTATTTTGATAAAATTCTTGCAGGACGTTCTTTGTATTTCATTAAAAAAAAAAGCAAACTCAATATCAATCTCAGTAGGTCCCCTTTAAGAAGGGGCCAGAGCGACAGATTTGAGAGTACTGGGAGCAATATCAGAAGAAAAGGAACCATTGTTGGGATTGTCTATAATGTGAAAAGGAAGAGAGGAGAGAGAGAGCAGGGATCGAAGAGAAAAGGATGTCATTTTCTTGAGGGACTGCATGATGATAGGGGGATTAGGATCAGATCAAAGGATTAAGAACAGCAAGAGTTAGAAACCCAAGAAGTGTTTCCTGGAGAACATCAAATTCTCATTATTGATTCATCAGGAGCAGTCACCTTCCCTCTAAGCCACACATGGCTGCTTTATCACTTTGATCTCTCTGCTGATTGTCTGACTGAGCACTGCAAACTTTCTAATACCCATGTCCCTACACCACACTGACAGGCATTGCTCTCCATGACTCAGTCTTGGTACACTCTTCCTGGTCTTCTATGGATCAAGTACCTTTCAATAACTGCTCTCCGCATGACCTCTTGGCTATATGGGCATTTCCCCACTACAACCGCTGAGAAATACACCGGGTGCTGTAGGAAATGCATCAGGAGGGCTCCTTGACAGCCCAGTACATTCCAGCGAGCTAGTTTATCACTGCAGGACATGGAGCAGGTCCTGTCTCCACGGCCTGGCTTCACTCGTAGTAACCCAACATGATGATATTCTACCCCAGGTCTCCGAGCATCATCCCTCTCTCCCAGCACACACTTTGCTCCGGTTCTATAAACATCCATCACTTTGGCTCCTATTAGTCCGGTCTCCTTAGCACACGTTAAGATCTCTCTTTGTCCATCTGTAATAAATTCAGAGCGGCTGGTATTTGTGTCTTGTATGTTTTGTTGATTGCCAGGAACATACTGAGCAGCTATTCTCTCAGTGACCTCACATGTAGAATCACTGATGACAGTTTTCATTCTCTTGGTCACATAATCACTTGCAGTTTCCTCTGTTTTCCTTTTATTTTCTGGACCCACAGGATCATGGTTGCCACTGCAATCTGCTGAATGCCTTGTTGGATCTTTTCTACTAACCAGTTCACAAGGCTGGTCCTCTGGTTTGGTCATTGGAATAATGGAGGCATCTCCACCTAGACGAAAGGAAGTTACATTAGCACTGGCCTAGAAAGAGATTTCTGCTTCTCCTTGCCATTTAATGCAGACCCCTTCATAGATAAGGCAACCACCACGTGTTTTTAAAGATTTGAACAAAAACAAAAAAAGAAGTACCTGAAGTACCAGGGAGAATAACCTCTTCAAATGACACTGCACTGTACACCTCTACCCCGATATAACGCGACCCGATATAACACGAATTTGGATATAACGCGGTAAAGTAGCGCCCGGGGGGGGCAGGGCCGCGCACTCTGGCGGATCAAAGCAAGTTCGATATAATGCGGTTTCACCTATAATGCAGTAAGATTTTTTGACTCCCGAGGACAGCGTTATATCGGGGTAGAGGTGTACTTTAATTAGACTTGAACGAGAATTCAGACCTGGTTTACATTTAATTCAAGGAGCCCTCATGCTCCTCCAGCAATGGACCTCACCCCTATCCTGAAGGAACCAACTCTGTTTCACGAGGTAAGAACTAAATTCAGGTTCCATATGCGTTCAGTCAGTGGGTACCTTCACTGTTCCATTAATTGGCATGCAAAAAACTTTGTTAACCTGGAGTAAAGATTGCAGATGTTCACTATTTCCCTGTACTTCTCGTACCCTTCCACGATGGGACATTGTCAGTTCCCAAAACTCAGCTGTTGACCAACCAGGAAATGAGGATTACAGTCCCCTTACAAGAAGATTAACATTACAAGAAACAAAACACAAAGGTTGGAAAGAGTTGGGACAAAGATTTTGAAAATCTCACTCTAAAACTAACTACTCTAAGAAGTTAGCTGACGTAATGAAAACACTAAGTTTCCTGTTAACACCAATGAGGAAAATATAACTTTCTTACTGAGCAATCTAGAACTCTGGAGAGGAAAGAGGAACAGGTGGAGTCATTTGTGGTAAGGACATGGTTAGAATCAACTATCATGTTGAGAGGAATAGATGGAGTTGTGAACTGTTTGGGTGTTTCTGTTTGATAGAATATAGAAATTTCTGGAAGGTGGGCAGGACAGCTGATAAGACGACTATATTTAACTAAGTAGCTCATCATATTTTTTTTTTAAGTCTTCACAGAATTTAATCCACTAGGTGGTTATTTCTTATTCTAAGTGTAGTAAATGTGAAAGCTACCAATCAATATAGCAAACAAGTGATTAGCATTCAGTGATTAACGTCAGCATTTATCTGATTCAGCATGCTTGAAGTTGAAGTGACAGGAAGCAAGTGACTGAAGTAGTGAAAACTAGAATTCTAAAGTAAAATATCAGTGTCAAGGGTTAAATATCAAAAAAGAAAAGATGTGTGCTCATCTCAGAAGTGTAGACAATCCATTTTTGTCCATGTATTTCAAGATCAAATGTGCCATTGAATAAGACTGTCTAATTAAGCAAAAGCACAGAACAGTAATGAGTATGTCACTGTCATCCTCAAAATGTAGCCATGATGACAATTTAAGGTCTCTGGTTCCAGGCTTTCCATCAACTCTTCAACATCATTTTCTGTTAGTTTGGCACTAAAATAGCAAAGTTCAGTCAGAAATTATTAAACTGAAGCAACAGAAAGACCAAGATTTAAACTCAATAAGAAAGTTGCAACTCTCTTCTATGCTAACAATATCACCTTCAGCATAGCACAAAACGAGCCATAAAAGGAAAGGAATAAAGCATTGTGCCCTGGACAATCTTTTCCAAACAGATTTAAACTCACATGTACACTAATAGAGGTTGTGAATGAAGAAACAGGAAAAATTAAATGTCAATTCCCACAGGAATCAAGATAAATACTTAATGCTAGATGGCTAGTCAAGCATGAGAAATGATATGATAATGTGTGTACACATCTATACAGGGGAAATTGCATTCCTGCTTAATGCTAATGATCTTATATCTGAATCCCACCCCCTTTCAAAACATTGTGTCCAAGTTGCTGAAAATACCACCCAAAAATGCAGTGAAAAGAATGACAAGATCTTCGCCATTTCCTTAGAAGAAACTAAAATGGAAAAGATTGAAGCTGAGAATTTTTCTTATCATCTGATATGTCTGGCACATTAGTGTTCAACAACTATTTAAACCTTATTGAGAAAGCAGTTACATCAGTGGCATGATTAGTTGATTAAAAATTTATAACTGACACCCCAGCTTTGCAATGATACATGGTGGAACTCTCAGGAAGACTGTGTTTCCATTTGCTTCCAGCTACCATGAGAATGTTGCAATTTGCACTGAACAGAGCAGAGATGGATCAAAACAATAACATTAAATTACAAAAACAACTAAAGGAGGTATGAGAGAGTCTTGACAGATTGCAGGCAGATGACAGTATTGTTGCAGTCTCAGTGGAAATCTGACTTGATCTAATTAACAAAGAAATGGAACTACACAAGGACAAAATAAATAAAATAAAATAATAATGAAAAACTCCCATGAGAAGTGACAGAACCTTTCTACTGCTTAGCTAAAATGACTGATCCCAAATACAAAGTTCAGGGTTGAGCCTAGTGTGACACTGTACAGAATATGGAAACTCTGATAATATTATCAATGTTATAAAATTGCAATAATCGTGCCAGATATGCCATGTAAGGTGTCAGTGAAAATGTTATGATTTGCCAAGTATGATAATGTTATTTATATATTTGTAACACCTTTGTATTGTGTTATAGATATGTATGGTACATCTGTATTTCCAAACTTGTGCTGTGTTTCTGGGTGACACCCCAGACAGATTGCCATCAGACCGGCCTAGGTGGTGCTGATGGCAATCAAGGGTCATCCGCTGTACAATGAACCCACTGAAAGGAGCCAGGGGATACACCTTCTGAGTCAGCAAGGCATGTAAGGGCAGGCCAGTGGACAGAGAACTCTAAGGCCCTGTCTATTTTGGCAAGTTTCTGCACAGTAAAGCAGCTTTCTGCACTGTAACTCCCAAGATGTACACACTGCCAAGCCACTTAGTGTGCAGAAATTGCACAGCTGTAGTGCTTTAAAAAAACCACCCCAACGAGAGGCGTACAGCTTTCGGCACCGTGGCTACAGACCTGCAGTGCCAGTGAAGACACCGTGGCGATTATAGCGCTCTGATTGGCCTCCGGGAGGTGTCCCACAATTAGGGTGACCAGATCACCCAAGTCAAATATCGGGACGCGC